TTTAGTACCAGGCTGCAGTATCAGGAGTGTGAGGGCGGAGAGTGTGTTACCTAGAACCTTGATGGGAAGGACACCAAGTCAGGCACTTGGAGCCCGTGTTCCTCAAGCAGGTGGCCCTCAGGAATCATGAGGACACAGGCATCCCCGAGACATATAGCCCTGCTCCACAGGTTGGGGTGAGATGAGGGTCCCTTCCATCAGAGCTCCATCCTCAAGACCTAATCACCCCCAAGGCTCCACCTCCAAATACCATCACTTTGGATGTTAGGTTTCAACATGTGAGTTGGAGGGTGGGGCGCACAAACATTCTGTCTGTAACAGGGTCCCAAACTCTGGTCTCTTGATAAAGTTGGATTTTAAAAAAATATCTATGTCTCAAAGAAGGATTCAAGCAATGCAGATGTTTTTGGGGAAAATACAGAAGTCTCATTTTTCCCAGCTCTCTCCCCACTTCCTTGAAGGTTCCTGCTGGCAGTTTGGTATGGATCCTTCAAGACCCTTCATGTAGTGGAATCCATCTGTGTTCTTGCTGACCTGTGCTTGGCCTTTTCACTCTGATTCCCTCGAGGTCTTTGCACATCCTGGTGCTTCCCTCAGCAGGGTCAGGTCATTTAGGTAATTTGGAATGCTTTCATTTTTCTGTAGTGATGGTCATCACACACATGTGTACTACACACACATTTGGAAGGGGAACGGATGAAAGGCAAACCTGGAAGTCTTCTTGGCTTGCCCTCTGGCCTGAAGGGACAGCACTTGCCCACCTCCACCAGCCATTACTGAGACGGCCACTAACTGGTGGCCTTGTGGCTTTGATTTTCTTCATCTCTAGATGATGAAATGTGTGTCCTTCTGCACCTAGTGTCTAAAGGAAAATGGGGCCGGTGTGTCAGAATGCTGGTAGCCTTCTGGGAAGGCACTCTTAGTCTTTATTTTGGTGGTGGTTTACCTCTTTGTCCTCCAGGTCACCTGGATCCCAGTAAGTAGGGCAGAGTCAGAATCCCTGGGGCAGAGAAGAGGTGAACCATCTGAGCTCCAGTGCCCCTCAACTGGTGACAGGAAGGAGGGAGAGGGGCATGAATTTGTTTTAGTTGTCATGTTTGCGGATGGCTCCGTTGAGGCTTTGAGGCCTCCGCGTCCTGGAAGAGGCTCATTGCTGGGCTGAAATCATGGCCTCTGGCAGGCCCTCCAAATGTGGCCACAGAAGGATTTTCTGATCTAGGAAGCCTTCACATGTGGCTTATTGTACATGAACAGCCACCCTTTGTGACCAGAGATGACACCACTGATCATTGAGTGCCATTGCCATCCTCGTGCTGAGGGAGGGGAAGCACCCAGTGTGGGGCTGAGACACATGATGAGCTTGCAGTCAGCAGGTTTGAGCCCAGCTTTACTGTCACCAGCTTGGTGACTTCTGAGCGCAGTCTCCCACATGGAAAGTGGGGACAGGATCTGTCCCACCATGATGAGTTCTGTGGGAAAATGAGGCTAAGACATTGCCTTGGGGGCATGGAGGAAGAGCTGGTGGTGTGGTAGCTTCTGTTCTCATTTTCACCTTTGTGTCTACCTTCTGTTTCTTTCCTCAGTTGCCTTTTCTTTTTTTCCTTTCTCCCTCTTCATAGCTCTGCTACTCTTTTTGGTTCAAAAGTGTGCACACACACTGACACACAATATGCATACAGCACACATACCATATACACATAAAAACAGACATGCGTCCATAAGCACAAGTGTACCTGTACACACACATATATACACTATGCCCAATATACTTAGACACATGCACACACTTACACATACATGCATGCACACTTGGGAGCTGCTATCAGTTCCATTTGATGTGCACATTTTTCTTCTAAAATTACTTCTTAAAAAATGTGAGCAATTAAAAAACATAGAAAAGTATAGAGGGTAACATAGCAAACACCCTCCATTCAGAATTCACAGTTAACATTTTCCATATTGTTTCCTTCTTTCATACTTCTCCTGCCCCTTCTTGGACCCAGGCACTTCCTTCCTGTGTCTGGTTCATCTTCTCTGTGTGTAGGTGTTCCACGTCTGAGCTGTGGGGCTGCTTTATGTGGTGTGTGCAGAACTCCTCCGTGTGAGTCATGTTTGCTTTGTGGTCCCATCATTGCCATAGTGACTTATCTCGTCATTGTCCGTTTCCTTATTGAGGAATCTGTAGGGTGGTTGCAACTTTTTATGCTTGAAAGTCTTTTATCGATCACCATATTGTATGTCTCTGCAACCAAAATATGTACATAAATTAAAAGGAGAATTTTAAAAGAATTTTTCCTTGGGTTTGAGTGGGCATTACAAATACTCAATTGATGAAAACACAAATATTAGAGTTTTTATAAATAGCAAACATAAACACTAAAAAGCATTGGACATGTATCTCTTAATTAGATGGGTTACTTCCCCAGCCCACCCCCTGACCCCCGCCCCGTGAATTCCTCTAGTCACAGTTGATTATAACCTGCTGCTGGAATGAGACAGGTCAGTGCCAGTTCTAGTTCTGTTTTTCATTTTAAGTTGAGAAACCTTGTTCACATAAATCAGTAAATGGGAATGAACAGGGGTTTGACAGAGCAATAGCTTCTAATTCCAAGTTATTTGCCGACAAATACAAAGATCACATACAGATCTAATACCCCCAAAATTGTTGATTTTCAAGGTGACAACTTGATCAAGTCCCTCCAGTTCCTTATAACAGCTTTACTGAGATAAAATTCATACACTGTTGAAGTCGCCCTTTTAAAGTGTACAATTCAGTGATTTCTCTAGAACATGTTTCGTTTTATGATATTATAGTCACTGTTGTAACACACATCCTTGTCCTGTGTCTTCAATCTTTAAAAAAAAAAATCTTTTCCTGTTTTAAAGTAATACAGCTTAATTGTAAAAATGTATAAAATAGAGTTTAAAAAAGTTATACTTGTCCATTGCCTCTTAGTCCAGAGGTTTTATTTTGTAGCATTTATACTTTCAAAGTTATTAAAACTTAAAACTGCACTAAGCTATGAGAGCCGCCTGTGCATCAGGTCATGAAAAGTACTCCGGAAAAGAATAAAGCAGAGAAGGGGAATGGGGGAGATTGGTCAGCAAGCAAGGTGACAGAGTGGAGGTTGTAAATTTAAAAAGGAATGATCAGAAAGGCCTTGCTGAGAAGGAGAGCTGAGAGGAGGGGTCAAGGCAGAACTCTTGGGGAAGAACTTCATAAGCAGATGAAACAGCAAGGGCAAGAACCCTAGGGTATGAATGAGGTTGGCAAGTCTGCATTGTATAGGGCCTTGTGGTCCATGGGGAGGAGTTTAAAACTTACTATAGTGTAATTAAGAGGTCACCAGAAGTTTTTGAGCAGTAGAATGTAGGAAATAGACTTTGGGGGTAGGTGAGAGTGTAGAGACTGGTGGAGTGGATTACAGTAATCGAGGCAGGAGATGCTGGTAGCTTTGACCGGGGTGGTGGCCGTAGAACCATGTTAGAATCAGGAGCCCAGAGAGGAAAAAGGTGAGGAGCCCATTGTGTTAGTTATTCCTTACTGAGTAACAAATTAAAAATTTAGCTGTTTATAACATTAAATGCTTATTATCTCATAGTTTCTGTGGGTCTGGAATTTGGGAGTGACTTAGCTGGTGGTTTTGGCTCAGGGCCTCCCATTAGGTTGCAGTTCAGCTGTGTGCTGGGCGGCGGGATCTGCTTCCCATGTGGCTTTCTCATGGGGCTGCAAGTTGTTGCTGGCTGGTAGCTGGAGGTCTTGGTTCCTTGCCAAGTGGACTTCTCCATGGGGCTGGTTGAATGTCCTTACAATATGGAGGCTGGCTTCCCCCAGAGCCTGGGGAGTCCCACTTCATCTTTTCCACAGTGTCTTGCTGGTTACACTTGTCAATCCTATTCAGTGTAGGAAGAGTCTACCCAGGAGGCAAGAACCATGGAGGCCTTCTTAGAGGAGGTCTGCCTCATCCATTTTTCGCCTGTGGAGGGGAAACGCTGGGAACTAGTGGGACATAACATGGTTGGACCTTGAAGGTCCCAGGATAAAACATGGGAATGAGGTTGGAGCAGGAGATTCAGGACCAGGGACCCGACTCCCACCTGTAAGGCCTTGCAGGGACAGCCTGGCTTCCATACTTGATTCTGCCTTTTCCTGGGGACTCTCTTGGGCGGTGAAGTCAGATATGAATGAAATAATGGCTCAGACATGGAGCTTGGATTTGGGCTGGGGGGAGCCAACTTAGTCCTGGTCAGGGGATGTATATAGTCTGCTAGAGCTGTCATAAGCACCACAAACTGGGTGCCTTAAAACAACAGACTTTATTCTTACAGTTATGGATGCCAGAAGTCCAATACCAAGCAGTTAACAGGGTCAGTTCCTTATGAAGGCTCTTCGGAGGATCCTTCCTTTGTTATTCCAGATTCTGGTGGCTCTGGGCGTTTCTTGGCTTGTAACCACATCACTGCAATCTCTTCTCTGCCTCTGTCTTCACACTTCCTCCTTCTGTGTGTGTCTCTGTGTCCAGATCTCCCTCTTTCTCTTAAGAAGACTGGTAACTAGATTTAGGGCCCACCCCACTGTAGTCTGACCTTCTCTTGTTTACATTTTTAAAGACCCTATTTTTGAATAAGGTCACATGCACATTTATCACGGATTAGGACCGGAACATGTCCGTGTGGGAAACACAGCTCAGCCTGCTAGAGAGGGAAGCAGTGTTGGAGTTGGGTGCTAGATGAGCCCCTGAGCAGGGAGGAGAGGTCCTGGAGAGGGAAGGGTGTTGGGGCAGGTACAGCGGCGCAGCCTGTTGGATGGAAGTGCTGTGGCCTGGAGTGGAAGTGGAAGTGGGAGGCACGGCCCATGATGGCTTCTCTCTGAATGGAGCTTTTCTCAGGGTTGAGCCTCTTCATCTATCTGATGCTCCCATTAGATTGTGGTAAGCCTTAATCTACAGCTGTGTTATTTGTTTTTTTTGTTTGTTTGTTTTGTTTGTTTTTATAACCAGGAAACTACTTTGCTTCACACTTTTTCATGGGAGGTGAGAAATTTGACACTCCCCACCCTGAAGGTTACCTCTTTGGAGAAAACATGGATCTGAACTTCCTGGGCAATCGCCCAGTCCAGGTGGGTCTTGCAGGGCTGGGGTGTGGGCAGTGGGGGCAAGACCTTGGCCTTCAGACATCTGTGTTCCAGCTGCAAGGACAGGTGGTCACTGAGTTACCCCAAACTGGGCAGAGCTGCCAGCTGGATGTGTGCACATGACATGTGCATGTGGTGTGTCCTGGTGATGCCCCCTTAGAGGTGGGGGGACCATGGGTGGGTCACTGGGGACAGAGCACCTACTATTGAACTGGGTGCATCCATGCTCTGGGGTTACAGAAGGTTATGGTTTTGATCCCAGGCCTCTTGGAGACTTTCTTTGAAAAGAAAAAAAAGAACATCCATGTTCCATGGAACAGTGGACAAGAGATAGGATCCAAAGGAGAAATGCAAATGGCTGGTGAATATTTTTACAAGTTTACCTTTAACAGTCACCAGAGAAGCACATGTTCACTCATTGCATCCCATTTGTTCAATGTACATTTGGCACTTACTGTGTTCCTGGGTCCCTTCCAGGGGACAGAGGACAGATCCTGTCCATTGTCTAACAGGGCATGCAGGCAATAAAGAAGGGAACAATTGACAAATGGAGACTAGAAAGAGAGAGAGGGACAGGAGAAGGCTCTTTAGGGGGCACGCTGAGTGGGAATTTGGTCCCCAGTGTGAGCAAGGGGCCAGGCAGGAAGCCCCCTCTCTCAGGGGACACTGGACCCCACCCCTGAGGCTGTTGAGTCCTGGAGTCTCCCTGGCCTAGTGTGGGGAGGGGTCCTCTGGACTGGGGAGGGTTCTCCAGGCTGTTTCAGCCATAGAGCAGCTGGTTGACATGGAATCTTGATCCTAATGGATGAGAGGCTAGGGACTAGGGCCCAGAGTGCTGGCCTCCACCACCCTCCCAGGTCCATGAGAATGAGGACAGAACCTTGCCTTCCATGTCTCTGAAGCCTCAGCTTTGACGCAGGGCTGGCTCATACAAGCCTCTTATAAATCTGTTTTTTTCTTTGGTTCTTTAACGTTAACTTCAAGACCACCATAGATTCACCTGCAGTTTTAAGAAATAATACAGAGAGATCCCACACGCCCTTTACCCAGTTTTTCCTGGTGATGGTGTTTTATAAAACTCCAGTGTGCTCTCACAAGCAGGAAACTGACATTGATGCATCCACATTTTCCAGATGCTGTCAGTTTTACAGCACTTGTGTGTGTGTGCATACGCGTGTGCATATGCCCCTTCCCGTATCCTTACTGACCGCTGACCTTGAGTGGAAAGTCTGCCTTGTTCAGGGCAGTGGTGGGACATCAAGACTACCTCTAGGAACGAGGCCTGAGAGCCCCAACCTTAATTGCTCCCTCCAGATCTCTCAGGCCAGGTCACATTCACTGAGAGTCCTTCCTGGGATAGAGGGACCATGGCCACCTGACCAGAATCCTTCAGGGTGTTCTGGTCCTGGCTCTCCCGTGTGCTGGCCATGTTGCCTGCAGTTTACTTTGATGTGAATGAGAATAATGTCATCCAGTGGTTGTCAGGAGGGCCCTGGAGCACCTGGGGGGTGCTTGGATTATCCCTGTTTTCTGTCCTCTGTCATGCTGGGGAGTCATCTAGGATTGCTTTGGGTTTTTTCCTCCTAGTTTCCCTATGTCACCCCCGCCCCCCATGAGCCGGTGAAGACGCTGAGGAGCCTGGTGAACATCCGAAAAGACTCACTCCGGCTCGTGAGGTAACCTTTGACCCCACCACATTCTTTAAACTAGGGGCTCTCAATTGGTGACTGTACCCTAGTCATGTTGGGCTGTGTCTGGAGACATTTTTGGTTTTCACAGCTGGAGGGGGTGGCGTTCCTGGTATCTAGAGGCAGAGACCAGGGAGGTTGCTAAATACCCGACAGTGCACAGGCAGGACGCCCCCCACAACCAAGAATGATACAGGTCTGACTGTCAAGGTTAAGAAACCACTTTAAACCCTGAAAGACCTGAGGCTTCTGGGGCTGTCTCTAAACCAAGAGAATTTGTCTCTTTTTCTATGGTTTGGAGACAAGGGAAGGAGAACCCTGCATTCTTGAGTCTTATTGTCCAAAATAAGGTGGGGCCTCTACTTTTCTAGAAAGGTGGGATGCAGCCAGGCAACCAACTCAGGGGCCCCTTAGGGTAAGGTGGACATGCTCTTGCAGGTCCCCTGACCTACTGCCTGTTCCTCTGGCTCCCTGGCAGGTACAAAGATGGTGCCGACAGTCCTACTGAGGACAATGAGAAGCCCCGTGTCCTCTACAGCCTGGAGTTCACCTTTGATGCTGATGCTCGGGTGGCCATCACCATTTACTGCCAGGCGGTGGAAGAATTTCTAAATGGGATGGCTGTGTGAGTCCCTGTGGTGCCTGATAGGCCCAAGGTGGCAGGGCAGGGCCCCAGTAGCTCTGCATCTGTCTGAATTGTATATTTGAACTTTCAGAGGTTTTATTTGAAATAAGGGTCATTTGGGCCCCAAAAGTATGAAATCTGCAACTCCTGCACAACTACAGAAGTGCAGGCCTTCCTCCAATCTGTGGGGCCAGACCCAGATGGGATGGGCAGAACTGTGCCCATCTCTGTCCTGTGGGAGAAAACCACTTGGGGGCCAGATGTGATCTGAGGATGGAGCAGTGGTTGCGAGCTCAGGCTTTGAGTCTTTTTGCACGCAAGCAACCTGCAGTGCCAGTTTCTCAGGCCAGATGTGCTAAGGCCCTGGAGAGTATCCTTCGTCTTAGAGACAGGGGGACAGAAGCCCAAGGGACAGCAGGTGTGGGGTGAGGTGGACGAGGGAGGGCAAGAGTTGTGTGTTGGATTCCTGAATGGGGAGATGGCCGAGTTGATTAGAATTGAAAATGTGTGTACTCTTTGACCCAGCTCTTGCTTTTCTGGGAATTCATTTTGGGGATATACTTGCATGTGTGGCTAGGAGGTATGCAGAAGAGGGTCCTGGAAGCATTATTTGGAAAAACAAAGATACTGGAGACCACCTAGTATCCACCAGTAGAGGCCTGATTGAGTCAGAGTGAAACCGCAGTGGAACCAGTGCAGTGTTCAGGGGACACGACCTCTCTATGTGTGGTGGCGATGGGGCAGCTCGAGTGCATGAGTAATAAAGGAGCAGAGTGTAGGTGGGCTGCTGTTGGAATATTAAAGAAGAGACACTTGCGCATACAGGTGTAAATATGCCTTAATTCTCCCAGGAGTGATACTTGGGTTGTGGATGAGCTGAGAAGCAGCAGGTGGCTGGGAGCAAACACAAGGTTGCAGGGATGGTGGGGGAGGGTACTTGGTACTGTGTACATTTTTGTACCATGTTTGCCCAGAAAAGTCAACAAACCGTAATAAAAAGCCGTATCTGTAAAGGTAACCAAGTTATCAGGTAGGTGTGGATTCTGGAAGACTCATACAACCAGGCCGGACCTGGGCAGAGCTGGTGGTGAGCAGAACGAGGCCTTGGAGGTCCTCGGGGTGCGAGGGCCCCGTGGCCACATAGGCTAGCTTTCTGCCTTATCAGAGAGGGGTTGGGACATTGAGGGTGGGACCTGTAAGTCAGGTTTCTGCTAGGCCCTCCAAAAGACCAGTGCCCGCCAGCCCCTGCCTCTGTGGTCCTGTGATGTTGGGGATCACCCTGAGGATGGGATACAGCAGAGTATTTGCTCCTGGCAGAGTCTCACCATCCTTTCTCTTGGCTGCCCCTTCAGGTACAGCCCCAAAAGCCCTGCCCTACAGTCGGAGACCGTCCACTATAAGAGGGGAGTAAGCCAGCAGTTCTCCCTGCCTTCCTTCAAGATCGACTTCTCAGAGTGGAAGGACGATGAGGTAACTTCCTGGCTCGACCCCCCTGCCCCTGGCCCCTTGCCTGAATTTCCTCTTCTTTGTGGAGGGCAAGCACAGTGGGGTCTGTTTGCTCAGATCCCGCACATGGTTGATAAGCTATAGGTGTGACTGTTGACCAAGGTGTGCGCACTCATTTTATCGTGTGCTGCACTGTGGAGTGTGGTTCGGTCCAAGTGCTGGCTGGACTGGATGACTGAGGTGAGATGGTGGCCGCAGACGCTTTGGTACCCAGCTTTGGGGCAGGTACAGCCTTGGGACCATGAGGCTGCAGCATGGCAGGATCCCTTCCACCTAGTGGTTCCATAGCTAGGGACAGTAATTTAGGATGTAAAGGGTGTTTATTGCAACTCTGTCTGTAATAGTAAAAATTGGAAACAACCTACATGTCCGTCACTGATGTTACGGGAACTACCCATATATATAATGTGGGCACCCTATTTCACATCTATAATGGGATGCCATGCAGTTTTAAAGCTCATGAAAGACATCATTGTGTACTGTACATCATTGTTCTACTGATGTGGAAAGCCCCTTCTGGGCTTGGAGAAGAGCAAGTTGCAAGCAAATGCAGTGTAATCTCATGTATATGGCAACCACAGAAATGCACAAAACCCATTTCCACAGGTATAATGTATGTGCATATAATCCTTGAGGAAAAACCAGAAAAGATTCTTATCAAGCTGAAGACAGTGGTTATATCTGCAGAGGGTTGCGGTATAAGGAAGAAAGTTATATAATACATACACTATACATGTATAGTCGACCCTCTATCTGTGGGTTCTGCATTCATGGACTCAACACACATGAAAAATATTTTTTATTTTATTTTTTAAATTATGTTTTATTGATTATGCTATTACAGTTGTCCCAATTTTGAAAAGTATTTTTTAAAAAACGCTATGTTGCTCATGTGTACTATGTAGTTAGGCCTATGATGGGAAGTATGTGTCTGAACATGTACAGACTTTATTTTCTTGTTACTATTCCCTAAACAATACAGAATAATAACTATTTATATGGCACTTACATTGTATTAGCTACTGTAAATAATCTTGAGATGATTAAAAGTATATGGGAGGCCGTGTGTAGGTATATGCAAGTACTACTCTATTTTATGTAAGGGGCTTGAACATCGAAGGATTTTAGTGTCTGTGGAGGGCCCTGGACTCAGTCCCCCCACAGATACTGAGAAATACACTGTACAGTGTATCAATACTATATATACTTCTGAATTATTTTGTTTCATTTTTTTACCAGTTTATTAAGGTATAATTTAGATATTATAAAACTTGTCCATTGTTCAATTCAGTGACTTTAGTAAATCTAAATCACAGCCATCACCAATCCAGTTTTAGAATGTAGTTTCCATCCGTCTTAGAGGATCCCTTGTGCCCATTTAACTCCTGTTCCTATCCCGTAATCCCTGGCAAACACTCGTCTACTTCCTGTCTCTTTGGATTTGCCTATTCTGGACATTTCATGTAAACAGAATCACATACCATTTGGCCTTTTATATCTGGCTTATTTCACTCAATGTCCTATCTTCTTTTGGCTACTAGCTATTATGAATAATGGTGCTGTTTTGTATGCAAGTTTTTGTTTGAATGCATGTTTTCATTTTTCTTGGCTACAGTTTGCTTTGTAATTTAATAAAAAAAATTTTTCATAGTGTTTTTTAAAGAGTAGTTTTAGGTTCACAGCAAAATTAAAAGATAAGGTATAGAGATTCCCCTGCCTGCCCCAACACATGTATAATTTTTATATTTTTATTGAATCATCTTGTGGACATCTTTCTAAGGCGGTACTTATAGACCTCCTTGCAGCTGGGGTGATTTCTTTGCTAGTTTTCCCTGCCAGTGCCCTTGCAGGATTCCATTTATTTCAGTCAAAGCCATGTTCTTTCTTCCTCTTCCCTATGTGTTTTCCATATTTCCTGGTGTCCATCCAGCCTGGGGCTTGCAAAGACTCTGTCCAGTAGGCTTCTCTGTGCTGGAAGGGCCCACGGGTGCCAGGGTGTGAGGCCCCCACCAGGGCCATGTAGGGCAAGGCCAAAGTGTGAGCCAGGAGGCCTGTCAATCACGCAGGCTGGCGTCAGCTATCTGGCTCTTTCTCCTGACCTACGGGGCTGCTTTCGCCTAAGAAAGTTTCTCTTGTTGCAGTAAAAGTAAATTGTCTCCCTCAGCCTCTCTGGGTTCGGGAGAAGCTTCTGTCCTTTCCAAGCATGCTTAGCTCTGGGGCATGACTTATGTGGAGAGGGAATTTGTGGGGAGATGGTCCTTGCTCCCTGGTCCCACACTCTTTGGGTCCCTCCCCTCGGCTTCCAGGGGGTCTCAGCCTCCCATGTAATGCAGCTGGGATGGGGTGGCAGCTCCAGGTGTGAAGGATTGTCCCATCAGGGCACCCTAAGAGCAGCACAGGGCCCAAGCCACAGTGCCCGGGGAGATCTGGGGTCACAGTGCCCCTGTTGTCTCCGCCTCTGTCCCTTGGCCCAGTACTGGGCTGACCAGGGTAGGCCTTTTGTTGGAGTTCGCTAAGTTAGTTGACCCAAGGTTGCATGTAGGGTGCTGCCCTAGGCTCTGTTGCCTACACATGATCGCCAGCCTGAATGTTAGTGGCACTGGGAAGGCTGCTGCAACAGAGCCTTCGGAGTCTATGTCAGGACTTTTTTGGTTGTAAGCGACAGAAACACACCTAGGTCTGGCTTAAGAAAAGAAAACCATGGATTTATTGGCTTAGATTCTGAAAAGCTGGAAGGCTTGTGGTTTTCTCTAGGGCCCATGTCATCAGGATGCGGTCTGCTCTGGCTGAGCTGGCCTTGCTCCCAGACTTGGCTCTATGTAGACCAGCAGCCTGGGTCCCATAGTGCTTGGATGTGCCTCCCTTTGTGGCCCCCACCTGAGGCAGGCTTGTGCTATTCTCTGGCCAGACAGCACAGATCCAGGGTGGGGGAGAGGTCTTTCCCAAATTCCCCCGAGGAAAATTGGGGTGCCACCACCTGAAAAGGTGGACAGCAGCTGTCTGCACCTTTTTGTGGGGTCTAGACAGATCTGGGCATGTGGGTCAGGCTGGATAAGAGCAGAGTCTCAAGGATAAAAGTACCAGGGGTGTCCTCGGGCCTATCCCACGAACTGAGAGGCATAGGTGGGTGAGGTCTGGAGGCAGCCCTAGCTCTGTCACTCTCTCCATGAAGCATTAGGCAAGTTATGCCACCTCTGCAAGCCTGGGTTTCCCATCTGTCATCTAGAGGCAGGAACATTCCCTTGCTCTAGGGTGCCCATCAGGGATTTGTGCAGAGTGCTCAGGCTGTCCGTTGTGAGCTCAGCTTAGTGTGCAAGGGAGAAAGACAATGCAGATCACTCGGTGGCTCCTCAGCACTAAGTCGCCCACATCAGCACCGAGGATTATATTCCAGCAGCTGGCTGGAAGCACGGGGGGCCAAATTGCACAAAACGCTCCTCCCCATCCGGCTCTGTCACATGAACAGCTCCCTCCTTGGCTTAATTACAGCCTTTGGAAAGCAGCACCTGTGCATCACATGGAGCATCATTTTCACCAGGGTAACTTTGGGATGGTCATTGGCAAGATGGCTTCCTGTGCCCTCACTCGGGGTGGGAGGAGCAAGCTTGCAGAAGGACCCTTGTCCCCCAGACATGTTACTCCTGTCTCGGGTGATCACCTGCCCATACAGTCATCTCAGAGCAAGGTGGGGTGGGGGGCAGAAAGGGGGTTCCTCCGTCCCGTAAGTCCAGGTTTCCGTGGTACAGCCCTTCCACCCTTAGCTGTGGGGAGCATGAGGCCAGGCTATGTCTTAGGCAGGCCTGGACATGTCCCCCACCTCCCCACATGTAGCTCACCTGCATATGTCCTTCTAAAGTCCTATGTTCCTGGGGTCCAAGCCCTGTGTCTTTCTGTGAGGCCCTACTTGGCTCCCTCTGCCTGAACATACAGAGCTTCAAATAGCTGATGCTCACTGCATGCTGTGCCAGGCGCCATGCTCAGAGACCTGGCATTAGACACAGCTTTTATCCCTTTTTCAGATGGGAGCACTGAGGCTTGGATCAGGGAGCTCAACTCCAACCTGGCAGTTCTGAGACTGACCCTGTCCTAGCGCCTGGCCGCCCTCCCTCCCCCTCCTATTCCTGCCTCCCACTGACAGCTTGGGACCCACCCGCACTTCCAGAGCCTCCCTAATGCAGCCCCTGCTGTGGGTGTCCTCAGTTGGCTGCCCCTGTCCTGTGGTCTCGGTGTGAACTGACCCGCAGCGCCCACTGATGAGCAGACCTGGAGACCATGCCCACGTGAACACATGTGGGGAGGAGAGTGGCCTTCAGCCTGAGAGCAGCCAGGACCACAGGGTTGACGCTGGAGGTGAAGGAAAAGTAACAGGCGGTTTCTTCTTGAGTTCAGATTAGCCACACGGTCTCCTTCGTTTTCCTTCCACCTTTAGTTGTGGCCATACCAGGTCCCTTTCTTTATAAGGTGGAACAGAGTTCCCATGTGACTCAGCACTTCGACACCTGGGTGTGCCCAGGAGAACTGAAAACGGGCTCCAGCAGGTGCGTGTCCAGCAGTGTCCATCACAGCACTGGTCATGGCAGCCAAGAGGGAGAACAGGCCAGGTGTCCCTTGAGAAATGATGGGGTAAACCATGCGGCCTAGCCATGATGCGAGATTTTACTCAGCCTTGAAAAGGAAGAAAGAACTGACATGCTATCACACGGATGAACCTAGAAAACATGATGAGTGGAAGAAGCCAGGCACCAAAGACAAATACTGTATGATTCCGTTTCTATGAAATGTCCAGAACAGGCAATGGGAGTAATTGCTTAATGGAGACAAGAGTTCCTGTTTGGGACAATAAAAACACTCTGGAAATGGATGGTAGTGATGGCCATATGAATGTTCTTAGTGCTAATGAGTCGGACACAAATTTGCCATTTTAATCACTTTTATCTATTTTACCACAAAAAGAGGAGAAAGGACAGCCAGGCCTGTCCTCCTTACTATTTTGTCTGTCTTCACAAGCTCTGCTACAATGACCTCCTCCCCGAGCCTTCTCCCTCCAGCTCAGTCTCACTGTCTAACCTTTTTTTCTCAGTTGAACTTTGACCTGGACCGGGGAGTGTTTCCAGTCGTCATTCAGGCCATGGTGGATGAAGGAGATGGTGAGAGGCCTTTCTTCCATTCTCCCTTGAGTCCAGTGTGTGGAGTCTACAGGAAGAATCCACTTTCTGAGGCCCTCTTCCCCTCATCAGCAGGAAGGGGTTTGTCCAGAATTGATGGAAGGATGTGGGAGCCTTGTTAGCAGATTCAGGGCTGTGGGGCTCAAGCAGCTAGCTCTCTATCTCCTCTCTGGGGTTCCTTTGGCACTTCTCCCACCTGGCGTTGCAGGGGGGCCTCATTCCAGCTCAGGAATTCCTGGCCAGCATGTCCCCCACCCCCAGCGGCAAGGCCCTGTGGCAGAGCCTTGCTTTTCACTGCAGTAGCAGCGGCTAGGCAGGCCTCCAGGTCTGGTGTCCACCCCACAGTGGAATGAGGGAAGCAGCAGAGAGCCAGATTGCTGCAGAGAGCTTAGGCCCTCCTCGGGCCACACAGCTTTCCTCACCGACCCAGCCAGTCCTGCCAGGTCTCTCTCCCACTTCTGTAGGCTTCAGGCCCCTAGTCTAGGGTATGAATTCTGGAGCTTTGGTGGAGTCTGGCTCCTCGGCCCTGCCTGAAATGTCCCTTTTGTGCAGAGTGAGACAACAGGTGCCAAGTCAGCCTCGAGCAGTTAAGAGTGGCTGCTTTGGAAGAGGGGTGAGGTGGGAGGCAGGAACCCCCAGGCAGAGAAAGCCAAGATAAGGAGGAGCCCTCCAGAGGTTCGGGGCCTGCAGGCTGAGAGCATGGGAAAGCATCTTCTGAGGAAGGAGAAAGAGGCTAGGGGAGAGGGGGGCAGGTCAGCGCTCTGAGTGCTCTCTCCTCTCCTTGGCAGTTGTGGAGGTGACTGGCCATGCCCATGTACTGTTGGCTGCTTTTGAAAAGGTAAGTGCCATCCTTCACCTTGACCTGGGAGCTTTGGGCAGAGAGGTGGTGTTTTGAGATCAGAAGTCTGGGGGTCATGCCAGGCCCAGGGCACATGGGAGGTTCCCCAGTCATTCCAGGCTCCAGGGGAGATGATGCCTCTCAGGAGGCTGGGCCCTCAAGTCTAGCATTACCATCAGGAGGCTTCTCGAGGGCATGTGGTGTGTGGTGGGGGCATGTTCTGGGAAGGCCAGCCCATTAGAAATCCCTATATTCTGCCAGCACAGGGGTAGGATGCCTACCTGGAGGGCTCTGGTCAGACTAGCTTTCCTCTGGGATTAAAAGGGATCATCAGGACACCAGCTCCTAGGGCCATGGCCTTTCCTAGCAGACCACCATCCTGGGTGTCGTCGGAACTTCTCAGTTCTCACCTGATCCTCAAACATTCACAGTGTCCTGCCTGGTCCTGCCTTGCCTCTTGAAGGGTGCATTGCCCTGGTCACTTGGGGCTGGGCAGACCTTCCCAAGGGCCTTCCTGACCTTTGGGCAATTTGTTGAACTCATTCATCTGAGGTCTGTGAGGGCAGAAAGGCCCCTGGTTTGTTGTATCCTCAGCATGAAGTAGGTGCTCAGTGAATGCTAGTTGGATGGATGAGGACCATGCTCAGCATGTTTCTAGACTCTCTGTGGGTGGTCGAGGGGGAAAAGACACTCAGGCTCTTCTGAGGGCCCAGCTAGGGATGCCCCATGTGTAAAAGAGACCATTTACATGGAAGGATTCATTTAATATTACCTTTAGCTAGTGTTACATGTATTTAGCTTAAGTGTTTGCCCCTTCTTTCCACATAGGCCCGAGACCCCAGGCTGTGTTTACAGGGTGTGGCTTTGGTGGTTAGGGAGGTCTGCTTAACCACTGTCTCCACATTAGTACATTGCTGGGTCTAGAGACCATCCCACTCGCCTGTCACTACTAGTCCTGGGGCCAGACAGTTCCATGTGTCCATCCATGCAGCGAGTGAGTGCCTGGCTGTGTTGGGACAGGGTCCCTGCTCATCGAGACCCTTACTGGAGGTAGTGGGATGTGTCCTGTGTCTGAAAAGGCCATGCCTGAGGTCCCCCACCCCCAGTGCTCTGTGACATAGGTTGGCCACTCTCCAGTTGTATAGTGTTTTCAGCACCAGCCTGTGGCCTATGTGGATGAGCGTCAAGGACCCCACAAGGAAACCAGGCTCAGGCTGCTTATTCTGGAATTCCCACCACTCCTGGGCATCCTGCTGACCCCCAGCTTCTTCAGCTGGTGTATGTCTGCAGCCCCAAGAGCCCTAAGTGCAGAGCCTGGCCCATTCCTGTGATCTGGGTTGTTCCAGAGGCCTCGGGAGTCATAGCTGGGCCTGTGACCTTTCTGGTCCATTTGTCCAGTGCTTTCCCTGGCCTCCTGGTGCTGTGGTGGCACCAAGTGCCCTGGGCAGAGATATACATATCCTCTCCCTCTCCAGTTCTGGGATTACCAGCTCTGCTCCTCAAGACTGGCCTGTTGGAAGAGATAGTAACTATTTACCCATCTACTTCCCTGGCTAAGGTGGATGGGCTTTCGCTAACATACATTCCATTCCATTGTGTGCTTCCAGTGTAGGGCCCAGCGAGAAACTCCATTATTTTTGGAGTCCAACATACTAGAAACTTGCATAGGAGCCTGCCAGCTTTACCAGAAAATGCCAAGTGCTAGTCTCAGTTAACTCAGAAGGATAACTGGTATTGTTACAAGATCTCAGATCTCATACCTTAATCAACCTTGTCAGCTCTGAGCAGTATGTCTGCCCAGACACTACTGAAGGCGTTTGCTCTATTTTGTTCTTACAGTTTTTAGACCTTTGTATGCATGCATGTGCATATTCTTGTGCTGTGTTTGTGACTAGATGAAGCCCTTTGAGGCTAGATCTGGTGTCCATTTCTTGCTGTCCAGGTGCTGCTCCTTGCCATTGGGGAGGCTCTTGTCCGTCATCAGAACTTGGCTAATGGTAGTAAACTTAAGTATGACTGGGAGAACTTGGTTTTGTAGGTCAAAGTGGGTCCCAGAAGGCAATATCTTTATAAGGTTCTCCGGGTAGTGCTGAGGACAGGTCAGATAAGCCACATTTGAGAAAACCTGGCCTGGCTCTTTAGTCTTCACATGGTCCCTCTTTTTCTAGCTGTGGATGTGGAGTGACCAAGGAAGGGCCCACAGCAGGCTGAGCAGTGCCAGCATGCCAAGCTAACCTCTGTGTTTTTCTCCCTGCAGCATGTCGATGGTAGCTTCTCTGTGAAGCCATTAAAGCAGAAGCAAATTGTAAGTCTGTCAGAGGAAATGTCGTGAGCCCTTTGAATTTCAAAGACACACACACACCCAGTCCAGTAGTCTCCATGGATTAGTCTCCCTTCCCACCGTGGTTGCTGTTGACGTAGCTGATGACAGGCCTGTTGACTTACTTGTCATCGCTGTGGGCTCTGGGAAGTCAGGGTCAGTGTCATCAGGTGCGTGTGTGTGTGCTGCACACCCACCACGTACAACAGCATTGAGTGTTGCAGCCCCATATCTTGTCCACTGTGAATATAGTAAGCTTTCAGTAAATGTTTGCCGAATGAATGAATGGACAGAGGAAGCAAGAAAATAGGGAACTAAGATTACAGTCTCCTCTCCTCCTACTCCTTACAGATTACAGAAAATGCCTCAGTATCGGGCAAAAAGGGATTTACTTAATATTTGAGAGGAAAGATGAAACATTCTGGAATGAGTGGGGGCTGTAGAGAAGTACAGCTTTTCCTTGGGGTCTGTAATTCCATGGTCCTCCACCAGGATGCATTATTCCTGGTGGCGTCCCACACTGAAAATTTAGAGGATGGGTCCCCTGAACCGTGCCATGATGGATCTTGATATTGAGACTGATTTTAACAATGGCCATGGTGGAGGCCTGTTTCCAAATTCATGATCCTTGTATGTAGCTGCTCAGGTGTATAAGCCACAACCCAGGAATGGTGTTGGTTAGTTTTTCAAAAGACGGGTAAGGCCCTGGCTGGTGTGGCTCAGTGGATTGAGCACTAGCCTGCGAACCAAAGGGTCACCAGTTTGAGAGGTGGTGGTAGGTCAGATGGGTGTAGAGGAGCCCTTGAATGGGGGCTGGCAAGTGCCCAGATACCTCTCTGCTCTCCAGGTAGACCGGGTCAGCTACCTGCTACAGGAGATCTATGGCATCGAGAATAAGAACAACCAGGAGACGAAGGTATGTACCTATGGTGGGCACACGCCAGGCCTCCAGGTGGGCCTCACTCCCCAGCTTTCCTTCCGCCTGCACAGAAGCAGGCTCATGAGAGTGACTTGCCTGGGGTCCCCCAGCCCTGGCCAGGACCCTGCAAGTTGATGAGCCAGTTCCCTTCCATGCCTCCCCCTGGAGACCCTGGGACCCCAGAGTCCATCATTTTTCCTTTATTTTTAAAAAGAGTTAACAGAGTTAAGGGACATTTAGTCCTTTTTGTCAGCAAATTCACTGGCTTGTTACTATCTTTAGATATCTGGCCATGAGGTCAGCCAGGGCATGTGGAATCTCCTCTTGTCTGATTGGGCTTAACAGGTGCTGCCTTGGCCTTTCTGTTCTCACAACCAGCGGTTGAGCCTTGCTGTGCCCTGCCGTCTGGCTGCTCCCCAGACTGGAGTACCTGTGGTTAAGAGGGGTTCTTCTTTGGGTATCTGTGACAGCATGGTGGCTGACAGAGCCGTATCTGGCGCAGCCAGGAAGGGTAGTGGAGAATCATTACCTGTGCCTTTGCCACTGTATTTAAAGGTACACATGGCCCTGACCTGTATGGCCCAGTTGGTTAGAGCATCATTCCATACACCAAAAGGTTGCGGGTTCCATTCCTGGTCAGGGCACATACCTAGGTTGTGAGTTCGAATCCTGGTTGGGGTGTGTTCAAAAGGCAACCAGTTATTGTTTCTCTGTCTTTCACATTGATATTTCTCTCTCTCTTTCTCTCTCCCTTCTTCTGTCTCTAAAAGCAATGAAAAAAAAGTCCTTGAGTGAGGATTAAAAAAAAAAAAAATGGCACACAGGCATAAACGAAAGAACCACCTCGTTTTTAAAATCTCTAGAAGTCTCATACCAGCTGGAACTGGTCGGAAGCAGGACAGGGCAGTTTGGCCAGGCCCGAGCTCCAGATAAGCACTGTCTGCTCAGTTCACCCATTTTATACCAGAGATCAGCTGACTTTCTGTAAAGGACTGAGTAGTAAATATTTCCAACTTTATTGGTTCTACGTGTGGGTGTTGCTCTTCAACACTACCAGCTCAGTGAAGAAGCAGCCACATACAATGTAGAAACAACTGGGCAAGACTGCATTTCAGTAAAACTTTATTCACAGAAACAGAGGAGGCCGAAGCTTGCTGATCCCTGTTCTAAAATGTTGCTGTCTCTTGATCCAGAGTTTGTTTTCCAGAAGCTGCCATTACTTGATGAAAGTATTTCAAACAAATTAGACTTGTTTGATTTTTTTGTTTGTTTATTTTAGCCAAATAAATAGGTATCTTCTGGAAGATGTGTTCCATAGTATTGCATCTTTTCCACATTTTCTTCTTGCTTTGAGGAATAGAAATAGACCTGTTCCTTGATTTGGAGAGTGCGTTAGGGTGGGGCTTAACTTCTCCACTTAGCTGTGGAGAGGAGTTGGGCTGGACCTGAGTTTGGTGCCCAGGGAGCATGACTGGGCTGAGTCTGCTGAGGTGCCCTACTCTGTGATGACCTCCCTGTACCCTCTTGGGCTTTGCTTTGCCCCCACAGCAGCCCCTGGCGAAAGGGGGGTGGCTCGTGGGGCAGCCAGGGGCAGGAAGGCCTCCTCCCTGCTCCTTAGCTGGCTCCCAGGCTCTGGCTCTCAGAAGGCCATTGACCCTCAGACCCTCATTGTCCCTGCAGCCTTCAGATGAGGAGAACAGTGACAACAGCAATGAATGCGTGGTGTGCCTGTCAGACCTGCGGGACACACTGATCCTGCCCTGCCGCCACCTGTGCCTGTGCAACTCTTGTGCCGACACGCTGCGCTACCAGGCCAGCAACTGCCCCATCTGCCGGCTGCGTGAGTGCGGACCCTGCACCAGGGCAGCCTTGGGTTGGGGGCTAAGAATGACAGAGGCTGCCCTGGCTGGTGTGGCTGGGTGGATTGAGTGCCGGCCTGCGAGCCAAAGGGTCGCTGGTTCGATTCCTGGTCAGGACGCCTGCCTGGGTTGTGGACCAGGTCCCCATTAGGGGGTGCACGAGAGGCAACCACACATTGAGTTTATCTCCCTCTCTTTCTCCCTCCCTTCACCTCTCTAAAAATAAATAAATAAATAAAATCTTGAAAAGAAAAGAATGACAGAGGCTATCATCCTCCCACCTGGTTCACAGTGAACTGGAACCTAGTGGTTTAGTGTATGTAAGTAGTTAACACCCAAAGCAACTCTGTGAGCATGTGAATGGTTCAGATCCTCAAAGGTCTGCCTCCAGGAAACTGGAATTTCAGAACGGCCAGGACAGGTGTTCCAGGGCACGTGTTTGCGGTGACATTAGAACTGGACAGAAATTGTTCAAGTCAAATCTTTATATTAAAGATAATGTGGAAAATATTTTGTTTGAGAACGACATCAAAATGAAAAGGGTGATCAAGGAATTAAATTTGGTTTTCTAGAGCACTCCAGACATTTTTTTTTTTTCAGTCAGAAGTCATGACATTGGTCATAAGTCTGAATAAAAAATTTGTCTTCCCGTAGAAGGAATCTAAACATTCTCAGGGTGCAAGTCCTGCTGAGTCAACATGAGAGTTAAGTGGGCAGGGAGAGCAGCTGCCTGGGGGAGCTGTAGGACATTTTATTTAGAAGGTAAATGATGGCTTTAGAGATTGGTCTTTCTGCTGTTTCACACATTAGCTACTAAGGTTCCACCTCCAAGCTCTGAGCCAGGACATGTGGTCCCAAACTGTCACGCTTGCCTTATACCTGTCTCGTAGCTCAGAGGGAACTGCCCAAGGTCACAGCTAGTAAGGGGCAGAGGCTTGTTTACACTGGGGTCTGACCCAGAGCCCACAGCCCTGTCCCCGCTGCACCAGCACATCACAGCGTTGCCCCACTAGGATAGCCAGGTGGGCCATCAAAAGGATGTGCAGGTGCAAGGGCCAGGGGCAGGCTGGGTGTGGGGAAGTGGAAGATGAGGCTATGTGATCTGGGGTTGGGGGGTCCAGAGCCCAGGAGGAAGCCCCAAACTCAGTAGGACACTGGGGGCTGTGCACAGGGCCTGGAGAGACGGGCAGCAGGGCTCTACGCAGCCCACGTGGGAGTGTAGCTGGGAGCAGAGGAGTAGGAAGGCAGGGCAGGGAGGCCCTGGTGGGTGGCAGGATCCTGAGCTGGGGCTGAACTCCTGGCTCCCCAGCTTGCTCTGGTCTGGGCATCATCGAGAGGCCCAGGAGCCAGGGGCCCCAGGGCAGGTATTTGTAGCACTTGGGCTGGCAAGTTGAGCCAGGGCTCCTGTCCCTGAGGCCTACAGCCTGGGGTGACTGCTGTCAACGTTGGGGACTCAGTTCTTTCATCTTACTGTGCAGATGCGCCTGGAACACTTGTGACTCACGCATGATGTACACTTTTCAAACATTGACTTCTGTTAGCGAAACTGGCACTACACGGTGACTGGTAGCTCATGTTCTAATTTATTTTTCCAACTCCCCAGTGGTCACTGTCTACGCCGCTTCTAGTTTTCCCAGCATAGACATTGTGTCATCGTAAATGTTCACATACATATGTCTGCCTGCCTGCTGGTCAGTGTAATTTTCAGGACTTGTAGTCAGGGCGCACTGTGTTCTTTTAGCTGCTTGGCAGGTGTAACTTGCAGGCACATTCACTGTCTGGTGTGGCAGGTGAGAGGCTGGCTGCCTCCTGCCTGCCGCCCCTAAAAGCTCCATTCGAGCTGGGGCAGCGCCGTCCTGGCCTCTCTGTCTTGCGGGGGGCGGGGGGGTGTTTCGTTATGACCCTGTTCTTCCTGAATTGGAAACATGGCTTGTCCTGGGACTGCTGTGGCGTGAGTGGGCGGTCAGTGTCCCCAGAGCTTGGAGGGTCTCAGTGGTGCTAGAACTGGCTGTTCTTTGCCTGACATCAACCCCTCCCTTCTGCCACAGCTTTCCGGGCCCTTTTGCAGATCCGGGCAGTGAGGAAGAAGCCAGGAGCCCTGTCCCCCGTTTCCTTCAGCCCCGTCCTGGCCCAGAGCATGGACCATGACGAGCACTCTGTAAGTCCCTCTTCCTTCCTGCATTATGGGTGAAGGGGTGGAGAGAGGAGGGGCTCTGGAGGAAGCCCCTGCCACTGTGCAGGGCCTGCCAGGCATCCAGACGCTTCAGGGCCTGCCTTCCTGTTAGGACAGTGCCTGGCTCCCAGAGTGGCTGGGTTGGTCAGGTGGCTGGTAGGAGGCAGCTCCCTGGGCCCTGCCCTCTGGGCAGTACCTGGCCAGGACCAAGACTGCCTGGCCAGCAGCCCCATCTGCTGGCTCTCTGAATCTTTGTCCTCATCTACCCAGCATGTCCCCCAGGTGGCTGTGAGGCCAAGTGGGGTGATCCGGGCCGCTAGGATTGCCGGTAATGGCAGGTGCCCCTTCACCAAGCGTGAGCCAGTGTGTGTCACCATTACTCCACCAAGCCAGATAGCCAGGGGCACTCTGTGTAACGGAAGGTGTGGTTTCCTTCACAGGGTAGCTGTGACACACTGTCTGTGCATTCTCTGCCCACCCCTTTCTAGCCTGGGCACAAGGCCACCTCAGCAACTGTCCACTGCCCTTGCTCCTGAGAAACCATGAGCTGGACCTTGCTGCAGGCAGATGAAGGATGTTGGACTCTGGCTTCAGGGACCTTGGGAGAGGGATGGGCAGAAACATGAAGAGACTTAGAGAAACAGATATGTATGGGCAGAGATAGAGAAGTGGAGAGACAGACAGATGGGCAGAGAGAAATGGAGAGGTACAGAGACAGGAAGTTAGACACAAAAACAGATGTGGAGAGACACAGATAGGGCAGGAGAGAGACAGCGGGGGAAGAGAGAGATGCAGAGACAGTAGGGAGACACGGTAGGGATAAAAGTGAAAGGGAGATACTTAAGAGATAGACAAACAGGGAGAAAGAGATGGAAAGAAACATGGAGAGAGAGACAGACAGATGGACAGAGATGAGGATGGGAGTAGAAAGGAGAGGCTGAGGTGGACAGATGGGGGAGGAAGGACCAAGGAACAGGTGTGGTGTGGGCTCTGGTCTTAAGCTCCCAGATCCCTGCTACCCATGAATGTTGTCAGCTCTGAGTCCATTTTCTTGGCTCTCAACTGAGGTCATTTAGACCCAGTGATTTTTAGAGGCCTGCAGACTCTAAAAAAGGAAAGAAGGCCCAAACCCTCTGGACTGGCACACGCATAAGGTGGGCTCCTATGCTGGGCCAGTGGGTATGATGTGTTTGGCTCACATTATGTTTCTGAAGATTGGGTTAATGGTTAAAGATTTGGACATTTCCCTTAAAACTCAGGCTTATGGCTATTTATTTCAAAATCTGGAGGTGTGGTCTTGAAGCTGGAGCAGAGGCAAGGCTGCCCCCCATTGCAGGGGTGGGGCGAGTCCTCATCATCCCCGCTTCTCCTCTGGCGACCGCACTGTCTGATTTGCCTTCTGGGCCCTGTTAGCACCAGGGCTTATAACTTGGAAATTAGGCTGACCACATATTTAACACTGGACTTGATTATGGACACTACACTTTTTCCAAAGACTGAGTTTTAGGGAGAGAGAACAGCAACAGCACTTGGATGTGATTTGCTCCGAGGAAGTGAGGGCTCTGACTCTTTCACAGAAGGGTGGCTGCTCAGGTGGTGGGTTTTTAATTGTCACTTGTGTGTTCCCCTCCCAGTTTCTGTTTGTCCCTCTTATTCTGAGAGCTGAGATGCTGCTCACAGTGTAGAGCAGGCTGGGGCTTGGACGGTAACCTCTAGCACCTTCCTCTTTAGAGAGTTGTTCTCTGTCCTGTTCCCTGGATAAGCCATTTCCACATAGTACCAGAGAGAGCCCAGATTAGGCATGTTCTCCAATGGGTTTGTTAAGATCATCACAGGGTGAGGTAAATTGGGGCTGATTTTTCTACCCACCTACCATTAGGACATAGAAGTTGGTGATAAGTTTGAGAGGCTGGGTTAAGCCTCACAGAGATGCTCAGGGCCTGGGGGCCCCTTCCCCATGCCCAGCCAGGCCCACTTGTGTGGAGTACCCAGCAGCCCTGCCAGGACCTGCTACTCCAGGTACCCAGCCTGTGGTGGGCATTGGGGATGGGGATGGGCTGAACCAGCAGCATATTTTCTAGAAACTGCATGGTTGTGCATGCCCAGCCCAGCAAGGCCCCTGAGGCCAAACCTGCATTATGGCAAGGTCCCCACAATTCATGTGCATGTTAAGTTTGTAAAGTGCTGGCTGATGGCACTCCTAGAAGCCAGCAGACCAGGCAGACAACATCCAGCCAGCTCCAGAGCTATACGGAGAGTGATAGTTGTAAAATGTGTGATTTTTATCTTGACAGTGTCCCTTTAAAAAATCAAAGTCGCACCCTGCCTCACTGGCCAGCAAGAAACCTAAAAGGGAAACTGTAAGTGTGTTTGGCCCTGTGGCCACGTCTCTGCCCTTCACCCTGATTATTAAGCCAATAACAAGTACGGGAAGTCATTTTTACCCAGGTCTGATGCATTTGATTAATTTAATCTGTCAAATCCACTCTCCCCAGTCCCGACGTCTCTCTGTAGGAAAGGAGTTTTGTGGAACAAGCAAAGCTCAAGGTCTGTTGGCAAAAAGCCAGTCTCTTGGTCCCCGCTGCCGGGCAACATACCGGCCTCAGGCCGCCCCTTCCCGCCAGCTCTGCTTCTGCCCGTGGTTCCCAGTGCCCTTGTTTCCCTTTTTTTCTTGCTGGCAGTGGAATGATGTTGGAGGTGGAACTAACGTGGCTGCTAGATTTTGCAAACAGCACTCCTGGCGCTTGCTTGTCATCCTGTACCCTCTGCCCTCTGCCCCTTGGGTTTTAGTTCTTTAGGACAAAAATTTAATTTTCTTGCATTTTCCCTGCATCTCACGGAGCAGGCTGGGGCTCAGACAGCGTGCGGCAGCCAGGCTGGGCCTCTGTTAAAGCGTGGAGGTAGAAGTCACTGGAGGGTCAAGCTAGAGATAAGGGTTTTCCTTTTTTTGGAGGGGTAAGGGAGTCGGAGTAATTATTTACCTTTAAACTGAAGGTAGTAGATTGGGAGCAAATGCACAGCACCTCTGGGTCAGGTGACCTGGGGTCCCGGGAGGTGCTCTCTGAGGGCAGGAGGCCCCACCCTGGTCCACTGCTTCCCCTGTAGCCCCAGCATTGCTTCACCACCTCCCTGAAAGGCAGCCTTCCTTCCAGCCACTCAGGTGGGGGGTTCACACAGAGAGTACTTAGGAGCATTTGCCCTTCACCTCATCTAATGAGAGTGAGGGCAGGTGGCTGCCCCACCCTGCAGGGCCCCAGCACTGACACGCCCCAGCATTGGGGCGTCTCCCTTTTCCCTTCACCTTTAACCCTAAAGCAGGACTAAGCCTGTTGATGTGATTCACTCCTAGCAAGGGGGAAACACAGGTTCTGAACCAGGGGGCCCATTAGAATCATCTGGAGCACATATCACCCCTTGATGCCTGACTGCCTGAGGTTCATGGAGGATCTTGAGTTGGGCCAGATGTCTGTGTTGTCAGGCAGAGCTCCCTGGGGACCAGGTCCTTCTCCCCGCCCTCCCCTAGTCTAGATCACTTTTGGTTCCCACTGGTGTCTCTCTCCTCTGGCATGGCTTTGCTCTCTTCCTACTCCTCCCTCTTACTAACCCTCTTACCTTCCACCCCTGCCAGGCAGGAACACAAAGCCAGGTAGGGGCTGTCTGAGGCTTGGGATAGGGGCGGCTCTTCCAGATGCCCTCCGCACCTTCATCCTGGACATCAAGTGGAGCATTTGGGTGTCCAAGGCTGTGTGCTGCCGCTGATGGTGAGGGAGCCCTGGGTAGGATATCTGATGCTGCTCTGGAGTTCTTGGCACCCCTCTGAAGGAGGGAGGATTTAAGTCCTTGGACGGTGGAGCAGACAGAAGATGGTCAGAAAAGCAGATTCTGGGAAGTAGAACATCTCTAAGGCACAAGCCCCAGGCAGCGGGCAGGGAGCCTGGCCAACCCGTCCCTCACCTGCTCTTGTCCCCTCAGAGCTCTGACAGCGTCCCGCCGGGCTATGAGCCCATCTCCCTCCTTGAGGCGCTCAACGGCCTTCGGGCCATCTCCCCGGCCCTCCCCTCGGCTCCCCTTTATGAAGAGATCACCTACTCGGGCGTCTCAGATGGCCTATCCCAGGCCAACTGTCCACTTGCTGGACTTGATCGAATCATGGAAAGCAGCCACCAGAAGGGCAAGTCAAGGAGCAAATCCCCCGACAGGTGAGGCTGGTGCCAGGATTCCCTCTGGGGAAGGGTGTCTGGGAAACTGCCCCCGCCCCCGCTACCCCCCTTCCCCCCGCTCTGTGGGCCAAGGCAAGGGAGGCATATGCTAGTAGAGAGGAAGTGCAAAGCAGTTTATTTGTAATTTCAAATAATTTTATAACGTGTTTTGTTTGGTGATTCGCTAGAACGACTCACAAGACCAGTAGCAGTTTAGGGTCATGGCTAAGGTTGATCACAGCAAAGGCAGCAGGAGAAAAATGCATCCATGGAGGTCAGAGGCGCCAGTGTCCTTCCCTGTCCCAGGCCACATGGGAACAGCAAACCATAGGAGCGTGTGCCCTGTCTCAGCCCAGAAGAACCATTGAGTTTCAGGGCTTCGGGACTTTCAAGGGTTTGGTCACATGGGCTCATCCTGCTGTGCGACCAGTGATGGCACCAGAAACCCAGCCACAGTGTAACTAGGTGCACATCCTCCATCTTGTTCATGCTGGACAAGCAGGATCTCCATCACTTACATAAGGAACCTTTGTGGGCCACGTGCCCAGGGGCCAGCCAAGGGTCCCTGGTGGTTTCCTTGGACACTTGCTAGGCTCAGGCAATCAGCCCTGCCATGTTAAGTCTTTCCTCACACGTGTGCTGCTTTTTAACTAAAAAAGTATAAAAAAAGGCACAGGTTCTATAAAACCAGCTATGGCCCCGTGACTTATACACATGGCAGAACTGCTTCAAAGATACTCAGAGAAACATGGGAATCTCCCCGGCTGCTTCCCATGCCCAGCCCTCTCACTGCAGGGATAGACCATCACAGTTCTCTTGTCCTTCTGGAAATAAAAAGCCATGTTTAGGCCTCTGCCAGTCCACAGGTGGAAAGCCTCTGTGTCTGGTGCCTGGTGCCCCTGCTGGCATTCTGCTGGTGTCCACCATGCCCTGGGTGCCTCTGCCCCGCAGCTCCAGGCACACATCTGCATGCCCCCCCGCATGTGATGCTGGCTTTGGTGGGGTTGGCATTTCTCATTCACTTGGCTTTCACTCTCCTCTTCCCTGCCTCCAGCACCCTGCGGTCCCCATCCTCCCCCATCCATGAAGAGGATGAGGAGAAGCTCTCCCAGAACTCGGATGCCCCTCCCTTGCCAAGTGCAGCCGGGCTGGTGCTGAGCAGCTCCCCAGAGGTGAGGTCCCGCCCTGGCCCACCTTCCTCTCAGTACTGCCCAGCTGAGATCTAAGTCCCCACTGCTTGCCTGTTGACTTTCAAGACATGATTCATGGTGTGCCCCAGGACTGCCCTGCCACTCCCTCACTCAGTGGCCTTGGCCTGGCTGTGACTTCCCTCAGCCTTAGTTTCCTCATCCGTGGGGTGGGCACTGGCAAAGGGGCTGTGTGTGAAGCGCCCATTAGATGTGCCCTGGACTGGCAGCTGCAGCTTGCCCTGCACCCTCCCCTGGCTACCTGCAGCCTGATTCTGGGCGGTCGGCACCAGTCCTGGGTCAGCACTGGATCTCCAGACTCATTTTCCCTTGTTTCCTAGAGTTTCCTCACCGAAGAGGTTGATGAGAGGTCATCGCTGAAGCAAGGTAAGCACTCTTTTTCCTGAAGGGCACGGTTCTGGTACTCCCTGCCTAGGAGGGGTGGGTGCCTCCAGCTCAAATCTCCTAGAGGTTTCTCAGTGAGTTTTGGTGCCCTCCTGGGAACCGCACACTCTGGTTACTGCACGATGTCTCAGAGCACAGTCTGCAGCCGCTCCTGGTTTTTCTTCTCGCCATCCAGCATTCAGATAGTAGCAGTCATTTTATTTCCCACTTGGATCGTTCTGCACACAGTCAGCTCTCCACGATTTTCCTCTTGTACAGCCACCCATCCTGGCCTTGGGCTTCACCCATCCCTTGTGGTTGTAGTCCTGCCGGTGCCTGTAGCGACCCAGGACCTCTGTGTGGGCCTTGGGGCTGGCAAGTCGATGGCCAGGGTGTGGGCACAGGGTTGAGCTCTGTCCATGTGCCCCGTGGTAGGGGGAGGGAGCTTGTACCTCTCTTGATGGGCTGGGTTAGCACGTACAGGAGTCAGGTCCCAGGTGCCCATCACATGTACTGGGCTCTGAGTCAGGGATGACCCTGCTTGATCTTACAATGGTCGTGGGACATAATGAGGTGCTTTCCTCTGCTGGCTGGGGAGATGCCTTCTCTCCGCTGTCCTGGCCATTTCTTCCCAGTGTTGGACAGATGACACTGGCCAGGCTCAGGATTGGTGTTGGAGGAGGCAAAGGCCACTTAATTTAGAAGTGACAGAGCCAGGAGGTGGCCCTTGCTGGCTGGTTCCCAAGCCTGCAGTTTGGTAAAGCCCCCAAAATAACCTGAAGATGCTCCATTGCTGTGACCCTTTCTTGCTGGGGTCCCTGGCCAGCATTGCTTTATGGGGACCCGTGTCCCTCCCAGGAGCAGCACCCCCCTACACACAGATGGGGCCTGTCTGCAGGCTGCTAGGCCAGGGCCCTTGGGCTTGGGTGTGTGTGAGTCGCGGGTTGAGGGGTATCTGCTCCTGGAAGCACCATGCCATTCCTGCCTGCCTGGTAGGATGCAGGGTAACCCCTCTGCATCTCAGGCCTTGGCTCCGCCTCCTCCTTCAGGGTTGGCTTTCTCTTGCTTGTGCACAGTATGTGCTGGGTCTGGGCAGCCCTCTGCTGTGCCCTGTCACAGGGCCTTGGGGCTGGACCCTTTCTGCAGGAGAGACCTCCCCCATGAGGGCACCCTTGGCAGCACTGAGAACAGTGCGGGTCCAAGACAGGGAGCTGATGTGTGAGAGGGGTGGCTACACCCAGAGGGCCCCCCACTGGACTGTCCATGCAGGACCAGCTGCGGGTATGTGTGGACCGAGGGCTGTCGCCCTGCCCGCCCATCCAGAAAGACAAACGGGAGATAGTTATATCTGTTACCGTTTTATCTTGTTTTTTAAACTAGGGTATGTAATTTTTTAAGCTAAAAATAAAACAAAAGCTCCATGCTAGGGGGTGCAAGAGAAGGAAAGAGGGAAGAATAGGAAACATCTGCCTCTGGGGTCCTGGGAGAGCAGAGGGGGAGTCGGGATGAGGTCTGGGCCAGAGTGAGGGCGCCTAGTGGCTGTAGTGCCCTGAGGGATGAAAGATGGGCTCCTGGGGCTCTCAACCAGGGGATGGCTGGATCCACCCCTCCTTGTGGGTCCCTGACCTGCTCCCTCCTCCGCAGGGAGCCGTGTACCCTCCATTGAGAACGTCCTACAGGATGGCAGCCTTGATCCCTGTGGCTGCTGCCAGCCTGGCCCACCTACTGACATCTACCTTCCAGGTAACAGCACGCAGCCTTTGGGCATTGGGGGCCTGCCAGGCCCAGGGCAGTGCAGTGATTGTCGCCGTGGACCTGGGCCCTGCTCAGAGTATTGAGGGAGGGGCTGACCCATGGGGAGCCCGCCCCCTCCTCCCTGCCTCTGAGTCCACACTCCTTCCATCAACTCCCAAAGCACAGCCAGGCTTAATTTTCCACAGTCACCCCCCCTGCAGCCCCTGGCTCTTAGGGCAGAGCCTGTGTGCCCAAAGCCCCTTTGCACCCTAGAGCCAGCTCAGCCACAGGAAGGCAGGCCAGGCTGTGTGTTTAAGGACACGGTCCTTTTCCCTGTCCACCTCCTGCCACTGCCACATCTTCTCTCTTCCATGACTCTGGCACACTTGGGCCTCCACCCCAGGGAGGTACAGACAAAGCCACCTGCCTCCCTTAGGCTTGATATGAGCCACTAGCCCTCCGCCACCTGCCTGAGGTCCCTACTGAAACACTGCATCCCAGGCCAGGGGGAGGGAGGACAGGCTGGGGCACTGAATGCCAGCAAGTCTGGAGGCAGCTGGGAACTGTCTTGCTTCTCTTCCCCTTTTCTGAGGCCTCTGCCCAGGGCCTTTTGGCCTCAGCTCTTCTGCTCTCTGCTCCTCTGGTCTAAAATCCTCAGCATCACGGCCTGGGTTCCAAAGATGAGGGATGGGAGTGGGGGGAGCTCCCAGATGCTCTTGCCTGCACCTGCTAGGATGCCTTCTGAGGTTCTGGAATCAAGATAAATAGGCATGTTGCTGCCAGAGAGCCTGTTCCTGCTGCATTCCTGGGAAGCCTGTGCGCCCCCTGCCTGCACCCCTGTCCCCCGCCTGCCCCTGGAGCCATCATTGGCTGGTCCCTGGTGACCTGGCCCAGGCATTGGGGGGCTCTAATGTGCTTTGGTTTGGAAGAACCTCTTTCCCCCTTCCCCAGCATCTGGACAAACAGTGACCTGTACAGACAGAGGTTCACCAGCTGTGAGGAAGCAGGACAGTTGTTGGTTCAGTGGCACATACAGGCCTGCCCATAGGGACACCCAGAGGCAAAAGCGTACCTTAGAGTAATACAAAATTCCAGTAAGTTCTTTCAGAGGACTTCAAGTATTTCATTAGGATTCAAAATCTGCAGCCCCCGTGCACCACCCCGCGCCCCCGCCCCCCGCCACAGTCCTTCCATAGGCTGAGTTCCTCTGCATTAGAATTTGGCCCAGAGCCCTGTTTCTCACAAAATATATTTTCAGCCTATGTCCATCTTTTGTTTTAGCACATCAGTTTGTGTACGTATTTCTTTTTTTAGCTCCCCACCCCCTCAAGGTAGCTTGTTCTAAAGCCAGTGCATCTGTTGTGGAGTGTGCCTGTCTATCTGAGCCTTTGCTAACCAAGCTTCCATCTCTCTCCTCTGCACAGCCCGGGGGTCCGACTCCTGCTCTGTTGGTATAGAGGAGTAAGCTGGTACGTGATTGCTGTCATACTCATGGCAGGGTGGCTCTGAGGGGCATCCTGGGCAGGGACTAGAGAAGGGATCCCTTCAGCTGCCTCTTCTGCTCCCTCCATGGGGGTTCCCTCCCATTTTCCAGCTTCCTTCACATCCATGTCTTCCCTTGGGTCCTGGATTCTAAATGCAGAGCTCTCCCAATGCCACATTGCCCCAGAGAAGTGGTCCAGGGGGCTCTGATGCTGGCTTTGGAGCAAGATTCTTCCATCAGAACCAGGTGGCCCAGTCAGGCTCTTCTAGCCTTTAGGGTCCCAGGAACAGGGACGCAATCCCAGCTGAGACCCCATCATTGCTGCTACTAACCTGTCCCCCACCCACCTCCAGAAGCTTCTGGAACATCAGCACACTGATACCAATCTATGAGAAAGTCATGAGATTGACTCCCAACCTGACAGAGAGGTGCCCTCTACCTGGGTGACCCAGATGTTTTACAGAAGGCATTTCCAAGAGTACCACCAAGAAGCAGGCCATAGGTGTTGAGGACCCCCTCCCCCTCCTTCACATGACATTCATGGTTCTGGGAAGTCTGGTGATAAAGAACCTGGTGCCTTTGGTGGCTCAAGGTTTCCCAGATGCGCGTGGCATAGACCGCTGCAGCAGGAGCCCTGGCCTGTCCTCGTGGCAGAGCCCTGGCAGCCGCAGCTGGGAGGCACCCCCGTGCCGATGGCCGGCCTTCCTCCTGGTCAGCTCAGCCCAGGCTTTGGTGTCTGTCCATTTTTTTGACATTTCCACGCAAACCTCTCGTCTTCCTCACACATTGCTTCCTGACGGATCTTACCCTCTATTGAAACAGGGTCTGGCACTTCTATAAAGTAGATCCTGGCCTCCACAGTAGCAGATGTTGAGTGTTGCAAATTAGATAACACTTCTAGAAGTAGGAAACACAGGTCAGATCAAGCTACAGAGAAATATATTTCACCTGTGGGCTGTGTGGCCAAGCTGACTTACTGCCTATGGCCACAGCTCCTAAGAAAACAGTCTCCTTACCCAAGGGTCTGTGTCACAGGCGGCCAGGACTAATTGAGGACATGGAGCCCACATTAGGTAGATGGGCAGGTGGCCATTCATTCTGTAGCTCTGAGAAGTGTGCGGGTCTCTCCACTGCTGCACCCCTGGTCAGGGCTCCCCACACCAGTGCCCAGAGGTGGGGGCAGACCCTGTCCAGGGACAGAGCACCTCATGGCATTGGGGAGGCGACTGGTAACAACAGGCCCTTGGGGGGGGGGCAGGCTGTGTTCCCGGGGCTGCTCTGAGCACTGGCTGTGCACCCAGGTCCAAGTCCACTCACTTCTGCCTGGGGCTGACAAATTCTCGCCTAATCCAGTCGGAGGCTCTGTGGACAGTGGCTGATCAGTTTCCAGGAGCACAGACCCCAGTGAGGACAGGAGATCCAGGGGTCAGCAGCCAAAGGTGCCCTCCTCTGTTGCATGGCTGCAGCTGCTGCTGGCACCGTGACCGCTCACCTTGGGCTGGAGTCCCTGGTCCGCTCCGTGGTCCGCCACAGACGTTCATCTGCAGTGGAGGGCGCCGGCTGCCCCGCCCCCCAGGTTTCAGAGTTGGTGGGAACCCCGAGCCTGGTGGGTGAAGGGAGCAGCTGAGACGGATGACTTGGCCTAGCCTGACCCTCCTCCCTCTGCTCCCACCTGCAGGATGGTCCACTTCCATGGAGATGCCCTGAAGCCTCCTCACCACTGGCCCCACCTGGCCTCTGCTTGGTGACCCCAACTGTGACATGGGGGCCACTGACCTGACTCCATTCTGAGAGCCTGACCAGGCTGGCAGCATGGAGCCCTCAGCTCCCCGGACTTTGCTGAGGGGCTGTCCAGACTCCAGTGAGACTCCTGGTCTCTCCTATCTGCACACCCTTCATAGCCACAGCTCTGAGGGGCCCTGCGACCCTTGATTGAAGAGCACAGTGGACTGTCCCCTCTGACAAACCCTTTTTTCTGTGGTCTCTGTATTTGTAAATGGTACAAGATGAAGGACAGAACCTTTCTGTCTCAGGCAGTGAGCTCTGGGGTTCCCCCAAATGCCTTGTCAGCTGAGTAGCTGGGGCTGGGGGCAAGCCGCCCACATGTCCCAGATTGGCTTTATCCAGGCTCCCAGCCACTGGGGGGTTGACACCCTGAGAACTCAGCAAACTGGCGGGAGAGAATTTATTGGGGGGGGTAAAGTACTTGTCTTCACAGGAATTATTACTGGGGCACTTGTCAGGGAAGGAGAGGAGGTGGGGTCCGAGTCACAGTCAATGAAGGAAACAGTGCCTGTCCCCTCCCCCTATGTGTGTGGCCTGGCTGGCACTGCTGCTTTGTGCCCTCCGTTGCCTCCCCTTCCTGCTCAGGTCTGCCTCCCATAGCTTGCAGCCCTTACCCACAGCCCTGCCCTCTGGGCAGCCCAGGTTTCTGCACTCCAGGCCTGGTGTGGGTTCCGGTCTGGGTCTGCCTAAGGGCAGAGGTGCAGGTGCACAGCCTGTTTGCAGCAATTGGTCTAGTGGCCCCTCTCCAAGTCCTGCACTTTCTCAGAAGTGGCTTTGCACATATCCTCAGACCTCCACCAGGTGTGGGAGCTTATGCTCAACCGGTCCACTTATTCTGGGAAGGACCTGAGCAACTTTTCTGCTCCCTCTGTGCCATTTAAAGGTCACTTTATGTTTCTTCCTAATTTGTTTGGGGCTCCAGGGACCTGCCTGGGGGAGGAGGACCCCCATCTGAGTTGGCCTCGCCCTTTTTTTTTTTTTTTTTTAGGATAAACCACCTGGGCAACAAAAAGGCAGAGGTGTTACCCAGCCCTGGTGCAGCAGGGCACAAGCTGCCTCAGCCAGGGACCTCGGCCTGGTGTGTGGGTGAGCCTGTGCAGCTCCCCACCCCAGGATTGGGGGTTGCCAAGAAGCTCACTTTCTGAGGATCTCCCCTGGGAAGGATAATGGTTCTGGTTCTGGGGTGGTCAGCAGCTGTCCACAGAGCATCTGCACAACTGAGGGCTTTGTCCGGTGGGGTCCTTGTTCTCTCTCCAGTTGGACCTGTGAGCAGAGCTGCCTTACGCATAGCTCCCGGCCATGCTCAGGCCACCTTCCCTGGCTGTTTGGCTCTGTGTGTAGCCTCCCCTCTCCCCCACTGGTGTGCTAATTGGTGCATGCCAGCGCACACACAAGCTGGCCATCTCTCTTCTCTGCCCCTCATCACCTACCAACACCCTGGCCTCTCTCCATTGGTATTGGTGCCAGTACTCTGAAGGACAGGATGCAGACTGCCCTGTCTTGGACTTACACGTGCTATCATTTGATGTATTCTGACTGGCTAGTTTTTGTTCGTTTTTACTGTATATTTATAGTAATAAAATAATGCAGCATTATCTTGTCCCCTCCTTTTCCCGCGCATAGCACTGCAGGGCCTCAGCTCTTTCTTGGTCAGGAGGCAGTACTTCTACATCAGTGAGGTCTGACTCCAGGAAAAAGCGAGGGCTGCCTGGGATGCCATGTGTGATGCCGCTGGTTGGTTGCTCTTGGGGCCAGTGTTCTGATTTTTGGGTTGGATCGAATGTTCCTTGGGGATTTGGCTCAGTCTTCTGAGCAGGTGGGAAAGGAACCCAGGGCCTTCAGGGTTTTGAGGGGCTGCTGCAGTCCCCATGTGCATCGCTGATTCATCCCACAGATGTTGCCTGAGCACCTGCTGTGTGTCAGCAGAAGGCAGAATGGGCAAGGTCCAGGCCCCTTGGAGCTTGTGTTCTAGTCAGTGAGACTCTGTACAAGTAAATTCACATCTTCCCAGATTTGGTTACCATTAGGAAGAGTGTCAGCAGGTGACAAGATGGAGTCACATGGGGGACTTAATTTAACCCATGGTCTAGAAGAGCACCCCTGGCAGTTGGCACAGCAAGTGCAAAGGCCTGAAGGCAGGAGCGAGCCTAGGGTGTCCACTGAATGGAAAGAAATGGGAGTGGCCCAGAGCTTGGCATTAAGGGATGTGGTGCAGACACTGCAAGAGCTTGTAGGGGCAGAATTTTATTCTAAAATCAGGTTTTTAAGCAAGGGAGTGACTCCAGAGGTCATGTGGAGAAAGGATTAGAGGGGCAGGTTTGGCTGCCATGATGCTGAAGCCCTGCCTGGCTCGTTTCTCTGCCCAGTGAGTGGTTTCCCAGTAGGGAAAAGCTGGTGCCCCAGAATGCCCAGGCAGCACTGTTTGTACTACCCCAGCAAGCAGGGCCCCCAGTTCCTTTGCAAACACTTCCAAGTTGCCTTCACAGGCCCCTTCTTTAATTCGGGCATTTGAAAGTGGGACCATTGTTCTTAGCTGGCCAGTCCCTCCCCTAAGGAAGGACTGCCACCTTTGGTTGCCCCTGGTCTGGCATGGTCCCAGTGTACCTAGAAAGGTGCTCAGCGTCGGATGACTTCTTACATGGGCTATACTCGATCTCCCCCCGTAGTTCCCTTGTCTCTTTCATTAATGTCTGTTGTCGGAGGGGTTGAGCACAGGGTGCCATTCTTCTGTGCTCCCTGTCCGACACTGGCCCTGGGCCCAGGTCAGGCCCTGCATCCTGGAGACAGCCCTCAGTGGATGGGCCCTTCCTCTCACTGACTGCTCCCCTTCAGACAGTTACTTGCCCTGGGACCTGGCCCGCCCCTGACAGCTGCAGCTACCTCTCTGAGCCCTGACTAGCAGAGGGCCACAGGGGGGAAGGGGGCCAGTCCCCCCTTTGGGTCCTTAGTACCTATATCTCCTGACAACACATCATGGACCAAACGTGAGTTTCTGGTGGACCCCTTGCCTGCCCTCAGCCCCTTCTTCCCTTGCTCAGTCCTGCTCAGGGCAGCCTTCCCTGTGCCACAGACCTTGACCTCACTGCATGGCTCTTCCAAGGCTGTGCCCGTGGCACCAATACCGAGTTTCATCACTCAGCAAATACATGGGGAGGCAAATGGAGCTTGAGCCAGCTGGAGGAGTGAGTGGTACCAGGACTTGGGAAACCCAGCGACATCTTTCTCCTCTTCCTTCTGCACAAACATGGGGTGAGTACCTGAGGTGGAAGACAGTAGGTTTTCTTCCATGGACACTGGGTAAGAGACAAGGTGGGAATCTGGGATTCTGACTCTTATCACCAATTGCGGAGTGCCCTTAGACAAGTCCTGCCCCCTCTGTGAGCCCAGGGTCCCTTTTGGGAAATTGGGGAGATCCCATTTTCTCCAATAGTATCTGGCATATGGTGCCTGACATAGAGGGTATTTGGGGCGATGGGCGCAGCTCACAACTTGGGACTTAAATCACTGTAGCACTAGCTGACTGGGTGTAGGGAGCCCTTGGGCTTCTCGCCATCTACCCCAAGACTGAGCCTGGACCCGGACTGTGGGGCAGTTGCGAGGTTCACCTGGCCCCTTTTTCGTGCTGTTACGGAGTGAGGGAGACCAGCATTGACCTAGGGTTGGAGTGCTTAGCAGGTTGTGCTTTCCTGTTCCAGGGCTCAGCTGAGCCCTCCTGGCGGAGGCAGGAGGCACGCGGGGAAGGCTTGCGACTCGGTCCCGCCAACGGTGACATGATTTTTAGGGATCCTGCTGCCCTCGTTTGGACCGACAGTCTTGAACCCCGAATCTGTCGCCCTCCCCACCCTGCAGGCTCCACGAGCAACAGGCCCGAAGCCCTAAGTCTTTATGCCCGCGAGCGAGCGAGGTGGGCACGTTGCATCCTGGGCGTTGTGGTCTTCGAGTGCAACGGGCTGCGCCGCCACTCGGGGTTTGAGGCTATTGGGTGCAGGCTGAAGAGCCGCCGTTCCTCCCTTTCTACACGCGCTTGGCTCCTCTTAACGACGCTTCGGCGCGTCGCGGTGGGCTCTCCCGATGCGCGTTAGCGATTGGCGGAGGAAGCGAGGCTGCTCGTGGATTGGTCAAGTGCGGCGGGGGCGGGCCAGCGCTTACACTTAAGGGGAGGTGCTCAGGGGCCAGGGGGCAGTGCCAAGATGTCGGCCGCGGTGCCGGAGCTGAAGCAGATTAGCCGGGTGGAAGCTATGCGCCTGGGGCCGGGCTGGAGCCACTCGTGCCACGCCATGCTGTACGCCGCCAACCCCGGGCAGCTTTTCGGCCGCATCCCCATGCGCTTCTCAGTGCTGGTGAGGACGCGGGCGGGCGGATGGTGGCCAGGGCGCTGCTCGTACCCGTGCCCGTGACCCAGCGCTCCCTTGCAGATGCAGATGCGCTTCGATGGGCTGCTGGGCTTCCCCGGAGGCTTTGTGGACCGGCGCTTCTGGTCGCTGGAGGACGGACTGAACCGGGTGCTGGGCCTGGGCCTGGGCTGCCTGCGCCTCACCGAAGCCGACTACCTGAGCTCGCACCTGACCGAGGGTCCGCATCGCGTCGTGGCGCACCTGTATGCGCGGCAGCTGACGCTGGAGCAATTGCACGCCGTGGAGATTAGCGCGGTGCACTCGCGCGACCACGGCCTGGAGGTGGGGCCGCCGCCCGGGCCCCGCCCCCCCACTCCGTGGTTTGGCTCTGGCCCCGCTGAAGGCACCGATGGGTAACACGTCCCCTTGAGGGTCCCCTAGTGGGTTGGGTGTCACTGTCTCCAGCATCAGGGTTGGGAAGAGGGACCTGAGGGTGGAAGGCTGGGGCTCTCCTGGCTGTTTTCCATCTGCCTTGCTGCCTGCCATTGCCAATCCTGGGAGTGGGGAGTGGGATTGGTGTGGGGGATGGGGTGGAGCGGGACCTGTTCAAGGTGGTGGGAAATCCAAGAGCAGAAGGGCACTTGCAGAGCTGGAAATGGAGGTTGGGTTCTCATGGCGTGGTTGAAGACTGTTGTGATTTGTGGGTGTTATGGTCGGAAGGGCAGGGAGTGACACTGGTGTTTGGGATTCACCAGCTGGAACGAGGAGCACGGAGTGCAGACTGGGGGGCTTCCAGCCAGCGAACTTGAGGCTGGAACTAGCGGATGCAGAGGGCAGACATGCATGAGGTGGCTTTGTAACTTGCTTGGGGAGAGGGCTGCACTGCTCCTAAGCAGCTGGCTGGCTTCTGCCTCACTAGACCCTGCCGTGGTCTTCCATTGTCCATGGCAACCTGGCTTTCCTTCCCCTGGCCTAGCAGCTCATACAGGTCCCTCCTACCAGGGCTGTACTGTTGGTGTCAGGACCTGGCCCCAACCCTGGTCTCCTTTCTGTGCAGGTGCTGGGGCTTGTGCGGGTCCCACTGTATACCCAGAAGGACCGAGTTGGTGGCTTTCCCAACTTCCTGAGCAATGCCTTCATCAGCACAGCCAAGTACCAGCTCCTCTTCGCCCTCAAGGTGCTCAATATGATGCCTGAGGAGAAGCTGGCGGAGGCTGTCGCTGCAGCCACTGAGAAGCAGAAGAAGGCTCTGGAGAAGCTGCTTCCATCTTCTTCCTGAGGTTGCTCCTGTACCATGTGTTTTTGCCCTCTGGCTCTGTGCCCATGGGCTGAGACTGGGCTCTGAAATCCTATGGGAGTGTGTTTTCTAGCGTGTTTGTGTGTGCATAATGCTTGCTGACTGCATGAGGCGAGTGGGCATCTCTTCATCTCCACTGTCTCGAGCAGTGACTGGGCCAGCTGGGATCTCAAGTTGGTCAGTGGATGGCCTGGGGGTGCTGGGCCTGGCTGTCTATACTCGGGACATTTTCACCTACCTTGAGACCTAAACTTGCCTCCCTGAGAGTCCCTTGGGCTGGTGGTGGCCCAGGTACTGCCCAATTTTCCAGGTGTGTAGGTGCACACACACTTAGGCATCCTCCATAAGAACCAACTTCTCATTGGTCTTTCTCAGTTGACTCATTCCTTTATACTGCCCTCTATGCCAGCCCTGGGGCCTAGAGGAGAGCCAGCTTGGGTAGGATGTTGTACTGTTAATATTGGCTGTTAGCTTTAACTTGGTTAGATTTCCTTTTCTGTGTTTGAACTATGGGTGAAGCTTCAAAATTGCTTTACCCCACTGGGACTTGGTCCCAGCTGTAGATGGACTTGTTGAAGGGACAGACAGTAAAGTGGCCCCTCAGCTGTCCTGTGTTTTGGTCCTGCCTGCAGGCCCAAGGCTGGGTGCAGGAGGACATCCCCTTTCCTCTCCCACTACCTGGAGACTTAAGGACAGAGCCAGGTCCCAAAGCACTAAGCACCATTCAGAGTCAGGCTGCCACTGACCTATATTGGGGGTGGGGGGGTTATTGTCTACCTACCTGTTTACATGTGGCACTACCAGCCATAGACCTCTCTGGGCCATCAACCTGGTCTGGGGCTTCTGTGCTGAGACTGTCCACAAGAGGCTGCTTTACTGATCCTGGTGGCCCTGGCTATGGGTTGAGCCTGTTGTTTCCTACTGTGCTTTGAAAGCCTCCTTTTCTCCATTCCCAATATGGTCTGTAGGCAGTTCCTGGGGATGGTCTGGAAATACCCACCAAGTTTGCAGAATGACAATAGGAGAGCCACCACAGGCAGAAAGGTCACCACTGGAAGTCTCCTATGGCCCTATGTCTGGCGAAACTTCTCAGCAAAGCTACAGGACAACTTCCACAGTGCCCGCCCAGCCTGCTAAGGCAAGCAATGCTCCCAGCACAGCCTGGGCGTCTATTCTACCTTAGAGTCTTGATGAAGCAGCCACTGTGGGCAAAAGCACTTCACTCTGTAAATAAAATACCTGTACCTTGTTCTTCTCTTCTTTCCTGGGGCACAGGGGCATGCTTGGCGCTCCAGGTAGCTTCTATTGAATCCCAGGGGCTCTGGGCAAAAGTGGCCTTAGCTGCAGGGGATGATGAGGAGGAGGGGCCACCAAGTCAGCCCCATTGTGAGCGCAGTGTTCTCTGTCCCTGCAGAGGAAGCCTGGGCCCCAGCAGATCACTGGAGCTGGGGGGGTCTTGGCATGACTTTCCAAAGCTTGTTTTGCTGTCAGCCAGTACTGCGTGAAGTGTGACCGGAACTGAGCCCCTCACCAACTGATCTTAAATTTTATTTTCCAGCAAATGACATATGCTGCCCAGGTGCCCCCACTGTCACCCCTTAGGGCAAACCTGAGTGTGTGCCTGTGGTGCATGGGGACACGCTCTCTCCCCAAGGCCCTGTCTGCTCTGGGCCTTACCACACGTTCTGGATGAGGCCCTTGTCTTGCCACCATGGGGGCCTTGCTGCCTGGCACTGGCCACAGCCCCGTCGGTCCTGCCTCTGCTAACTGTTCCGGGGGCCAATCCGCTGGCCCCAGCTGGGCCCTGGGCTGCTGCAACTGCCTGCTCACTGCCCTCCTGTTTTCTGGGCACACAGCTTCAGGGTGGATCAGTCACCCAACGTCAGAGTCTGAGAAGGAAAAGAGAGAACTAAAGTCGGCGCTCACTCAGCTCCTGGTGGACCCTACTGTCCCAGATTGGACCCTGGGCTGGTTGACACTCACCATCCCTCGGGCTATGGCTCCCGCCAGTTCTCTTTCCCATTCAGCACCTGCAGCTTCTCCAGGCCCTGGGTCACTGAGCACAGCACTCGCCCTGAGGGTGGAAACAGACTGTTTTGCAAGTCTGGGCGGCAGCAGCAGAATGGTGCCCTGGCTGGGGGGCGGGGGCAGGGGCAGGGCGGGGGGGGGGGGGGGCGCAGTTTGACATGGCAGGAGGATGGGGAGTACTGCGGATGGTTGACCTGGAGGATGTTTTGTAGTAGGGCTGCCCCAGGGGTGTGAGCTGACAAAGCTTTTCCTGTTACTCCATGTCTGGTCCCTGGGTGGGGGTGAGGGTCACTGGCTGCCCTCCCAGAGACTCACCCATCTCGTGGACTCGATCCTCCAATGCTTGTGACAGCTCAGGGAGGCTCAGAGCTTGCAGAGAGGCCTGCCAGCCTTTGGAATCTGTGGGGCAGGGCTGGGTGAGCCTGTGGTCTGTGCGCTCACAAGCCCTGCCTCTGTGCTGAGCTGCTGTGACCAGGAGACCCATCCAACTGTCAGTACCTGCGTGACCCCCTTGTTACATCAAAATGTGCTCTGCTTGCTGACCAAAGCACTAACTGCTGGTCAGGGCCCAGCCCCAGGAATGAACCCTCCCATGAGGCTGTGCCCTGTGGTCCGCCAGCCCAGCCCAGGCTCCAACTGGAAGTTGGAGAGGTCACTTGAGGTCTCGGACAGCACAGTCAGCCACCGCCCAAAGGCTTTGCCTCCCACCATCAGGAGGGACAGTAAGGAAATGGGCAGGGGAGGGCAGGGATGCCCTCACCCTGGAGTCTGGAATTGTGTTTGCAAGGGGGCTTGGGAGTGCAAATGTGATCAGGGCTGAGACAAGTGGTAAAACCCAGCCTGAGGAGGCATCTCTGCCCAGTCCTGGGCCAGGACACTGCTCTCCTTACCAGCTGTGGGGAGGGCTGGGCCCAGGGTGGCCCCAAGAGGGGACTCGTCTCGCCTCACTCGGGCTGACAGCTCAGCCTGACAGGCTCTGCAGGACACAAGACCAAGTGCTGGTGAGGGGACAGGCCTGGCAACTGCTTTCCATGGCCCCAGAGGGCAGGGGAGGGCAGACACCCCCACCTCCCTGAGTGAAAGGCAGAGCTCTGCCCTGTCCCTGCAGCCCACCTTCTTGAGTGTGGCAAGCACCCCAGGCACCTACCCACACTGACAAGCTCCCTGGCAGAGAGTTTGCATAGAGTATGCACACTTTCAGGGTCCTACTTCTGCCTGGTCTACCTCGCAGGGAGGAATAGCCCAGATGAAACAGGGGAAGCAGGGTGGGCAGGGGGGCGGCAGGGAGTGACCCCAGGAAGCCCTGAAAGCAAGTCCTTGGTTGAAGAATCTGGAGGGAACGCAGGGCCAGCTGAGGTGCCTACTCACTGCAGCTGGTCCAGGATGAGAGCAGCGTCCCGAGCCAGGGCCCAGGTCTCCTGCAGCTGGGCAAGGACATCCTTGCGGGTGCCATCCTGCTCCAGGAGGCAACTCTCCACCACAGCCCGCAGCTCCTGCTCCTGCGACACCTGGCCGCGCATGGCCTCCACTTCCTCACAGCGCTGGAGAGGGAGAGGTGGGAGGTGGGGCTGGCAGGTAGGTAAGTGGGCCAAGGATGCAGGAGACATGAGGCCACCAGACACAAGGATCCGCCCCATCCTCTGCCTCTGCCTGTCCCTCTATTCTGGAATGAGATGGTCTTTCTCTACCTTGGAGTCTTTCCTGCTTTGGATCCCTTCCTGTGAGCCCTCTGGTATCCACACCACCCTCTTGTTCTCTGCTCACACTCTATCTCTTCTCTCTTGTGTCCATCTGACCGCCTGTCTAATGTCCCGTAGAAGGCTTTCTGAGCCTTCTTCCTGTGGGTCTGCCTGCGCATCTCCCCTTCAGAGTAGGAGCTGTAACGCTTTCAGCCTTCACTGTCCTATCACCCACTGTCCTCCTCTGCAGGTATGTGTCTCCAGACACCTCTCGCCATTTCTGCACATCCCCTCCCCTGCTCTCCCCACTTACTTTGTGCAGCTGGATAGCAAGCTCTTGCATCTCAGCTTCCAGCCTGTCAGCATAGGCCAGCTCCAGGGCATCACTGGGGGGGCGGGCACTGCTGTGCCAGCGGGCAATGGCAGAAGTCATCTTCCTCTTGGGTCCAAAGAGTCTGCAGAGGGAATGGGAAAGGCACTCAGATCAGCATTTGCCATGTTCCTTGGAAACTCCATGGACCATCCTTCCATCAAGATGGTGCTCGTAGGAAAGTTCCTAGCTTTGAAGAGGGACAGTCACCCTGGGACCCTGCAGCACAGGACAGAAACAAAAGTGATGACCTTACAGGAAGCTGCTCCCCTCAATCTCTGCCCAGTCCCCTTTCCAGTTGGGAGGCTGCTTCCACTAAACAGGGAACTCAGTCAGCCGGCTCTAGACTATGGATGACTGCCAACTTGGAAAGCTCTTGGAAGTGAGAAGGCACAAAATGTCTGGGTGCCCTGAACACAGCACTGTCAGCTGGGCCAGCTTGGGGAGCCATAGGACCCAGGCCATCTGCATCTAGGCCAGAAGTAGCTGTAGAAGTGGAGAGAGGACAGCTGACTACAGGAAGAAAGCAGACTTCTGGAGAAGGCAGCTCTTTCTATCCAAATGCTGGAAAGCTGCAACATCAGCTGGTCCCAGGACTTGGACTGAGACAAGGGGCACACAGCCACAGATGCCCCTCTGGACTCACGTGACGCCAATTTCCTTTAGGTCGCTCTCAGTGAGGGTCAGGAAGATTCGAAGATCCACGTCCTGTTCCTCGAACAGCTGCAGGTACTTCAGACACCCGATCTGTTCCAGCAGTGTGGCAAGGTCCTAGAGGGCAGAGAGGCCAGAATAGGTCAGAGGATGGGCATGGCACAAAGACATGGGGAGAAAAAAAATGCACATGGTGCAGCGTGGAACCATTTTCTCCTGCTAAGCATATACTCTTAGGTTGCCTTTAAGGGGGGAGATCAGCGCTAAGTTCAGCAGTGGGACGGTGACTTGACTGCAAGCGGAGAGCCCAAACTACCCCCTCCTCTCCCTGTGCCCTCAGCCAGAGCAGGGAGTCCAGAGAACTTTCCATCTATTTGTGTCTCTGGATCTAGTGTCTTCATTTCAGCCTGAAAAATACCTTTAGTATTTCCTGTAGGGCAGGTCTGCTAACAACAGATTCTCTTACTCTTTGTTTACCTGGTACTATCTTAATTTCTCCTTCACTTTTGAAGGACAGTTTTTGCTAGATATAGCATTCTTGGTTGAATTATTTTTCTTTCATTATTTTTAATATGTCATCAAATGTCTTTCTAGTCTCCATGGTTTCTGATAGGAAAATTAGCTGTTAATCTCATTCAGATTCCTTTCTGGGTGATGAGTCACTTCTCTTTCTTCCTTTATTTAAGATTCTCTTGTTTTTTTAACAGTTGGATTATGTTATATCTAGGTGTGAATCTGAGTTTAATTTACATAGAGTTCATTTAGCTTCTTGGATGTGCAGATTCATGTTTTTTATTAAATTTGGAAAGGTTTGGCTATTTTTAAAACATTTTTACTGGACTTTCGGTAAAGATGGCAGTATAGGCAGACATGGCTCACCTCTTTGCACAACCACATCACAATTACAACTAAAATATAGAATCACCATCACCCAGAACCATCAGATATTGAATTGAATGGAAGTCTGACAACTACAGAATTAAAAAGACCACATCCATCCAGACTGGTAGGAGGACCAAAGACATAGAATGGGCTGGTCCCATACCCAGGTTGGTGGATAAAAATTTGGGAGGAATATCTCAAAAGCAAGGAGTCCCAGCCCCACACCAGGACCCCCTCCCAGGGTTCCAGTGCCAGGAAGATAAGTCCTCACAACTTCTGGCTGCAAAAACCAGCCAGGATTGAGTCAGTGGAAGAAAATTCTGAAGCCCCAAGCAATTCCTCTTAAAGAACCCACATATGGCCTCACCTACTCAGATTCATATCCTCTAAGATCTAGCACCAGGGTGGCAGCTTGAAAGGCACCACTGACATAGTGGGAAAAACTGAAGTGTCTGGCATCAAGGCGAGTAAAGGCAAGCTGATGCCATATCTGAGACTCTATCAACCTGGCTAACACAGTTTGTTTGACTCACCTTGGAGATCCCCAGAGACTACCCTACCCAACTTACAGGCCCATCCAGGCTCCTTCTCC